AATGAAAGCTTGCTGAGTTGGTTCAATGTAATCAGGCAGGTGCGGTTTGAGCCTATTAGCCAAAGATTTAGCAATGATCTTATAAATAACATTACAAAGGCTGATTGGACGATAATCAGTAGGAACTTGAGGAACCAACTTTTTAGGGATGAGAGCAATATTAGTGTCACTAATGTGAGGAGGTAATATACCTGTATGATAGAAATTGGTTACCAAGTTGGTGACATCATCTCCAATCCAATCCCATGTTGCAAGGTAAAATTCCACGTTGAAACCATCTGGTCCTGGTGATGCATTTAGCTTCATATCCTTGAGAATCTGCAATATTTCATTCTTATCTGGGATTGAGTAAGTGGGGTCCTCTTGATGAAGAAGTGGATGTGTCTCAATATAAGGCCTGCCCATATTAATGTTAGGAGAGGCAAAGATGAATCTGAAGTAGTTGACAAAGGTATTAGCAATTTGACTTGGTTTAAAATGAACTACATCATACTCGTCTTTGATGGAAAAAATAGTGTTTCTTCTTCGTCTTTTAAGAACAGCTTGCTGGAAAAACCTAGTGTTTCTATCCCCACCTATAGCCCAGTTTTTCTTCGCCCTTTGCTTGTAGTACTGATTAAGTTTAGAAAGGTTGTGCTCATACCTGATTGTAAGGGAGTTCTCTAGTACATGATCCTGCTGATGAAGAGGCTTTAACTGGATCTGATTGATTTGACCTTCCAATTCTTTTAATTCTTCCTGAATAGGCTTTTTCTTTTTACACAACCTCTTTAAAGATCCTGCAAGACAAAATGTTTTGGCAGAAAAAGAGGTTGTCCTGGTACTGTTCCAGACTGCCTTGGCATGAGCATGGAAGTCCTTCTCAAGAAGCCACCAGTTTTCAAATTTGAAAGACTGTTTTGGCTTAGAGAACTGTCCATCAGTAGATATGAGAATAGGAGCACGATCACTTAAAATGATAGGAAGATTAAGCACTTTAGTATTTGGGTAAAAAGCACACCAATCAGGATTGACCAAACAGCAATCTAAACGTTGATAGATAGGGTTAGACATGTGCTGCCTATTACGCCAAGTGTAAGCCGGCCCACTATAACCAATGTCAAAGAAACCACAATTTTTAATCAAAGAACGAAAGGAAGACAACCGATAATAATTCACACTAGCATTGCATTTATCTATATCATACAGGATATCATTCATGTCACCCATACAGATCATCGACTTGCCTAGGTTATCATACACAAAAGTGGCCACCTGATTCCATATGACAGTAGTCTGGCGATGATAAGGATCACCATATATACAGACCAAACAAAACTCTACACCTGAAGCTACATGAACTACATTCGCTAGGATAGCATGGAACGAAGCGCTATAAACAGAAACCTTGAGCTCATCTGTCCACATCAGCCAAAGGCCTCCCGACGACCCTCGCGAAGGAACTACAATGCTATCAGAAATGTCAAAACGATTGACAAGATCTCGAGAACCAACTTTAGAAGATTTAATTTCAGAAATAAAAATTACATGAGCTTTAGTGGAGCGGATGAGATTGGCCAGGAACATCATACGATCATTGCCAAGGCCCCGGCCCATACCTCGGCAATTCCAAGCAATGGCTTTCATGGCACCCGAGGCGCGTTAGGGCCATGCACCGCTGCCCGATCCATAGCACAGTTTATGGTCTGATCTAAGTGACGATCAACTTCCATAGTGTCTCCACCTTGAACTTGTGTGTGATCCAGAGTATTTCCTTTGCTAACGGTTTTAGAGTCACTGTGTGTTTCCGATGCAGCTTGATGAGAATAGACTGTGCCCGCACTATTTGTCGGGGAAGACGTGCTAATGGGCCACGGCTCATAACTAGCTCCAGTCTCTTCAGCAAACTGCAGAGGTGATGCAGTCATATAAGCAGAGGAGGTGAAATCCCTGTCTTTAACAGGTATACCCCTGTTTCTACGCAGGCAATGAGTATTACTCATATAATGGGCACCATGGTGACGCTTCGGAAGGTAAGTAGTAGGCCGAGGGCGAAGAGACTCATGGAGATGGGAACGTGTATCCCCAGATCCCTTCGCGGGAGGAATGTCCCAACGACTACTTTTTTGTCTATTCTGGCTCCTCTCAGCTTCGATAGGTCTGGGAAGGGAGGCAGTGAGAGAAACCGCAGCTCCTTCAGAAACTGGCTGCCCTGTAGGAACAACATCGCTGATGCAAGTCGCAGCTATTGTGGCACCCAAAGCACCCAGTGAAGATGCTTGGCCAATAAGAGGTAATCCAACAGGTGGAGCACCAAGTAAGCCTGAACCCTGTCCATCCTGAAGCATGGGGATGCCCTCAGTTGCAATAACAGTCGATACATCTGGCTGCTCATCTCCTTGCAACTCATAGGATAGAGGCTGTTTTTTAGCTGGGGGTGGAGGCGCTCCAAGAATTGAATCCCCCGGCCTTTTGGGACTGGATCTAACAGTAACAGGAGGTGAATCATGAGAAATAAAAGGATTGGCTCCTGGAGCGTTATTAAAACCGAGGTCTCTGCCTGGAACATGTTGCAACTCTTGGGTCACTGGAACAGAAAAATTTATAGGGTGAAGTGGAGCTCTTCCGGTTTCAACTTGTGTGGTACCCTCAATATTTGTCTGACTAGATGCTTTTTCTTTATTAACCACAACTGATAATTGTTGACCAAGTACATTCACTGCTTGTAATGCACCACTTTGACTCTGTTGCAAGCACTGAGTGGAATTAAGAGAAAGACCAGCACGATCTTGCAACCTGTAAGGAGACCCGCTGCATGTAGGTTGTAATGAGGGACCTGATTCCAGCCTTCTGAATTGCTCATTGATCTTTCTAATGGACATCTCCTTTGGCTCATGTATAGATGGATAAGATTGGTGAACAACTTTCCCTTTTCCCTTTGACTCTTCAACAAATTGACGTTGTAACCTTGCCAATTGCGGATTCCGAAAAGAAGAGAAATTATGTGCATTGTGCTCTGCATTCTGCACTAAATTTTGAGGGATTAACTCTGCATTTGTCATCCACTCTCCATATCTGTTAGGCTCAATATCTTCTGGTGAAATCTGAATTCTTCTCCTTGACATAAGGATATTGTTTCTGATCTTGCAATGTTGCACACTGTGAAACATGACACCACAAAAAGTACAAATTCTACCTATTCTTTCGTAAAACAGATATGCCCAGGCTGATAAATCCGTATTGAAAGTGACCCATACCTTGTCTCTGACTGACTTGTTTACCTGAACTTTTATTGTACCCCAAATGTATTCCTGCCTGGCTAAAATCATACTTTGATTTATTGGATGGAATTCAGATATCTCACCTATACTCTCAAGTATGCTGGATAGCATAGCTTTAGATCTAAACTTTCTAGGTATTCCATAAACTCTGACTGTAACGTAGATTGTTTTGAATTGATAATCCTCTATCCTTTTATTCTCATCCTCTGGATCCATCCATTCTAACAAAAAGTTGTCTGATCCCATGCTCCATGGCTGCCGAGTAATCACAAACATCACAGCCTCAAGTGATTGAAAATGGGCAACGAAGATGTACTTTGAAAGCTGAGAAATTCCATAATAATTATTTCTCCACGCTCTAGCCATGGACTGCTGCACCGCCTGTAAAGAAAGGACCCGGGGAGGTCCTCCTGTAGACGCAAGGGTCATGAGAACATTGAACTCTGCATCTGCTCCTTGTTCTTGAATTTCTTGCTCCGCCTTAATCCGAACGACCTCTGGCTCATTGATGAAGAGCGCTTGGAGGTTAAATTCCAGCGAGGGGACTGCCATGGATCTTTGAGCCTGCTCATCTATCCTCAAATCTGCATATGATGCAGACCGAAATTGGTGAGCTCTCTCTCCTATGTCTTTCACTGGATCAGCTGACTGCTCTTCTCCTTGATTTTCTTTTCCTTCCATCACGAACCAGCAAAAGAGGAGACCTGCAGCGTAGATAAGAGAAGATCTAGGATTGAGAGACGCTAGGGGAGGGTAGAAGAAAAGGAGTGAAGGAGAGGCGGAGGGAGAGTGAGGGGATGGCAAGGGGAGAGGACCGGAGAGGGAAGGGGATCAAGGGGAGGGATGAGATCTGGAGGAGATGGCGAGAGGAGGGGAAGGAGAGGCTAGAGCGGCATTAGCCATACGGGAAAGTCACCACATGCTGAGTAGAACATGTAGTTTGAATCCTCGAGGTCCTTGTCCTTGTGGGAAGAAGTAAAATGGGTTTTGCTTCCGGAGTACGTTCCCTTCCTTCCTTGGTTGAACAGGGCGAGCACGCGGCCAACGGGCCTCCTCAACCAACTAGTACCAGGTTTGGCTACTTTCAAAAAAAAAAAGTACCAGGTTTGGCTACTTTCAAAAAAAAAGTACCAGGTTTGGCTTGGGGATCAGGGTCTGCATTGGACGGCTCCAGTCCAGAGGACCGGCTACGCGCCATCCACACCATCTCTCCTTCGTTAAAACACTTCCTTTTGTCCACGCGACCTACGCCACCTCTTTTCCTTTCGTTTCGCTCCTCTTCTCTTCTCCCCTGTTCCAGAATCCAGAGCCCCCCACCGACCCCGACCCGCCCTC